CAGAAACTTTAGTTCTGACTTGAACACCAGTTGAATTGTTTAATAATAATAATAATTTAAGAACTATGCATGATTATTGTAAAAAAAAAACAAAAAAACGGGAGATGTCACATTTAGAATGACAGTTTATGTAAATTAGCATTTAGGATAATATAAAGGCTTGTTGTTGACAAGTCACTGTAGTTTCATATATACTGAAATTAAACGTATTTTACACTTTGTAAACCGCTGTCCAAACATACTGGCTCACTACCACATAATGATGCGAAAGCACCTCATATAATGCTCGCACGTCCACGTATAATGTTCGAAGCACCGAATGCGCATGTAGCACCGCGTATAATGTTCGAAGCACCGCGTATAATGTTTGAAGCACAGTGTATACTGTTTGAAGCACAGAGTATCATTTTTGAAGCACCGCATATAATACTTAAAGCACCGCGTATAATGTTCGAAGCACAGTGTATAATGTTTGAAGCACAGCGTATAATGTTCGAAGCACCACGTATAATGTTCGAAGCACAGCGTATAATGTTTGAAGCACAGCGTATAATGTTTCAAGCACAACGTATAATGTTTGAAGCACAGCGTATAATGTTTGAAGCACAGTGTATAATGTTTAAGGCACCGCATATAATACCTAAAGCACCGCGTACGATGTTTGAAGCACCACGTATAATGTTCGAAGCACAGTGTATAATGTTTGAAGAACAGCGTATAATGTTTGAAGCACGTACAGCGTATAATGTTTGAAGCACAGCGTGTAGTGTACGAAGTAACGCATATAATGCCCAAAGCACAGCACATAATGTTGAATGCGCCGCATATAATGATAAAAGCACCAATTGAGGTACTATTTAAAACAAGAGAAGCACTGTTTTATCAGATATGAAGATACGAGGCGAAGCCGAGTATCTTTATAGGTCTGATAAAATACGGTATACACACTGCGAAAGCGGTTTTGAATTGCTTCAAAAACGATCAAGTAAGTTGATTGGCGAAGTAATTTTCAAAAAATACGTCGCGTAAGTCGAGATAATCAAAGTTAAAAAGGTTATGTAAATGAATTGAAATCTCTATCACATATATAAAGATACGACACGCTTATCACCTTTGATTTTTCTTTGTGTTTTCCACATGAATTATAAATGAGTTTTTGAAATCAATTTAATGTTTAGGCAAGATATTATTCTGCATTACAACAAAAATATGACAAGGGGATATTACTTTTTTGGCTTAATGTTTGTCATAACATCATGCGAAGGTTTACGGAACCAGCAGAACGTTTGTCCAAGCTTAAACGCTGTCCTTGGTACAGAAATAAACCTGCACGACCTTGAAGAAAACTCAGGTTCGTACGAGGCCATCATCGATGCAATCAAAGATACACTGGTTGCAAATGGTGTGGTCGTCATTCGAAATCGGACGATGAACAGAGTTGAGCAGTCCAATTTCACTGGGAATTTCGGTCCAGTGATCGTTGTTCCTAAATCCTTCGAGGGCAAGGAAGCAGAACCTGGGCTACCAGCGATTCAAAGGGTCACCAACTATTTCTACAATGGAACATGGAATAGCGGGGACGATTGTTATGGATGTTATTGGCACAAGGACGGGAATTTTAATTCGGCCGATTACATAGCAAGTATACTCTATGCTGAACGAGTGGCGAAATTAGCGAAAACTACGATGTTTCTGGATAACTGTGCCGCCTACGACCTCATTCCTCCGGCGCTAAGAACACGGATCCAGGGCACAATCTTCTCAGTGTCGGTACGAGACATTCCAGACTTTAAGGATGGCACGGAGGAGGACTTTGCCCTATATCCAGACTCAGCAAGGCATCCTATATTTTACACACACCCGGGCTCCGGACGTCGGTGTCTGTATATGACCAACACTATGGTCACGCTGCGACCTAAGAGTCAGGACGAAATGGCAGATCTGAAGAAGGCCTGGGATATCATGATTACTCAGGCGCCCAAGTATCACCACTATTGGACGGCGGGAGATGTTGTCATTTATGACAATCTGGCGGTGATGCACAGAGCAGGCGAGATACGGTCCGGGTTTTCCCCTAGAGATCCAAGAATGCTTTTCAGAACACAATATCACATCAGTAATACCACCAGAGAAAATAATTTGGTCCGTCAATTTTCTTCCTCGCGTTCTTGATTTTCTGTATTGACATTTGACAATTTTGTCTGCGAAAAAACAAACTAAACATCTTGCTATTGCTCACTTTCTCTAAACAGGAAACCTAATTATAAGCATGCATGGGTCATATATGCATGTTCATTATTTGTATAATGACCTTGTGTTTGGCTGCAGATAAATGTAATTTAACATATTGATTCGACCGTCACATAATCATCGTGATAACATTTGAATTAGGGCAACAACATGTGTCATGTTGCACTATGAATAACCGCTGTTATTAGAGCATTGTAGTTCCATATATGATGTCCATTATCAAATATGGTCCATTGTCATCACCTTTGCCTTAGTTATTCACTCGACACTTGTAGAAGATGTGTTAGTTTAAACACGGCCATTGGTTCTTGGTACAAAACACAATGCATACGTGATGACCAGGAACTATTAAAGGCCCGCTTACACTTGTAATTATTCCAGCGATTTTAAGTTCGATTTTACTCTTTTGATGGATGCGAACGAGTGGATGAGTTTTGTATGTTTATATGACACATACTCGGCACATTCATCACTCATCTACTCGATCGCATAAACCAGAAGAAGAATTTCGCACTAGATGCTGCAAGTGTAAACGCGTCTTAACATAGATAATGAGTTATATTTTAGATCACTGAGTTTAGAAACCATGTGTAACTCTGATAACTTTGATGCTCAGAGACGGAAATTCACTTTTCCGGGTGGGGGGGGGGGGGGAAGCCTTCTAAATGTCCGATAAAAGTTTCAAATTTCCGACACCCCCTAACCACGGGACCAAAGCCCGTATAACCTGAGTATCAGGCTCTATTTTACAAATAGAGCCTGATACAAAACTTAACCTGATCGCTTTCCACCCACAGCAAAGTTTATATTTAGTATCCAATCAAAATGTCGCAGGAGAAATTTAAATTTCACACAACGACAACAACAAT